TTTTTTTTTTTTTTTTTTTTAATTTTTCAACATTTACTCATTTTTTAAAAAATATTTTAATGTTTGTTTATTTTTGAGAGAGAAAGAGATGGAGCACGAGCAGGGGAGGGGCAGAGAGAGAGGGAGACACAGAATCTGAAGCAGGCTCCAGGCTCTGAGCTGTCAGCACAGAGCCCGACGCGGTGCTCGAACCCTCGTGACCTGAGCCAAAGTCGCTCAACCGACTGAGCCACCTCGATGCCCCTACTGGTGCTTTTTTATATCCCTTTTGAAAGCGTATGGAAATCTATCATGAGCAGAAAGCACAGGCGTCTGCACCTGGTCATACAGTAGAGAACGGCCCGTGCGTGGCCTACCTCTGCTCTGATTGTGTAGTATTTATCCAAACCTCTGTGTGAGGTTATAAAAGCCCAGAGACGTGTTAATATAAAACGCATGCGCAGCACCATTATAGCTGTGGAATGGGGGGCACCTGGGTGGCTCAGTCGGTTGAGCGTCCGACTTCAGCTCAGGTCATGATCTCGCTCGTGGTTCATGAGTTCGAGCCCTGCTTTGGGCTCTGTGCTGACATCTCAGAGCTCTCTACCCCTCCCACACTCATGCTCTGTCTCTCTCTCTCTCTCTCTTTCAAAAATAAACATTAAAAAATTTAAAAAAAATTGTGTAAGGTTAGGGACCTTATCATAACAGATTGACCTGGCCTGCTATTCTCAACTGATAACTGTAATTTTAATTGTTAAAATGATTTAAATATACCTGCTTCATAATTCAACATCTGGCACATCTTTGGATCTGTTTCTGTTGACTGCTTTATCTCTTGACATTGAGTCCCTTTGTTTTTCTTTCTTGTTTTTTGTTCTTTATCTCCTATTTTTATGTGCCATAATTTTTTTGGATCCCAGATAACCCTGTTGAGAGCAACAGTAGAGACGGGTAAATAATATTTGAGCTCAAAAATAGTCAGGCCTCTTCCATCAGGTCATGTGGGAGATTGAGGAGTTGAGCTTGGTTTGGATCCTGTTGTGTTGTCATTGGCTCTGGGGACAGTGACATCGAAAACTTGAGCTGCTGCTCAAACCTTATGCCTCGAGCATGGCCTGGTGTGGCTGCGGCTGGTTCTCTGTGTTTTTGGCCTGCTCTCAGCTTTTACAGACCCTGCATATTTGTGTCAGGGGATTCCTCCACACGCTTCTCCTCCCCACCCCCACCCCCACCCCCACCACTGCTGTTGCCTGTCGTCCAGTGAGAGGTGCATGATGGGGAAAGTGGTTCTTCTAGGCCACTGTGCATTTGGACCTCAGGGTTGCACTTTGCCCAGAGCTGCTGACCCTCTCTTCCCCCAAGGCAGCCACATTCTTACTTCCATGTGGGGGTGGTCTCTAGTCAAAGGGCATTTCTTTCTTCTAAGTGGAACAGATGTCTCGTCATATCCGTGCAGGAATCCTTGACAAAGCTGATTCCCAGTCTCGCCCCTAAAGACTGACGGCTTTTGCTCTGCTTGTCCTCAGGCACGGTGCGTTTGGCCTGAGCCCACTGGCCAAGAGTTTCCTGCCCTCCCCGGTGGCAGCCTGCCTGTTTTAGCTCCAAGGAGAGGACTTCCTGTGGGTGCGGGGGGTTCCCGTTACCCCTGAGGACCCCGGGCTTTTTGTTTGTACCTCTCCCTCGGCTACAGACAGGTGCCGTGCCACCGGGGGGCCTCCTTCAGTCCCCTCCCAGGACTCCCCTTTCTCCCGCCCAACTGCTGCACGCCGTGCAACAGAGCTCACACACCAGCCCTCACACACGAGCCCGTGCTCTCCGTATCTGGGACTCCAGGAATTCTCAGCTGTTCCAGCAGCCACACTCAGGAGTTAGAGGTTCTTAGATTCAGCAGTTTCCTTCTTACCCATTTCTACAGTTAAGTAATTTGTGTGTCTGTGTTTCCACATGGAGGGACTCGGGACTCTTCGGAATTTGGCTTACCTGGCTGCCTGCAGCCCCATGTCTCTGACGGGCTCAAGAGAACTTAGCATTTTGTCAATAATAACAGTTTTCTCTCTGTATCGGGAGACGAGCTCTATGTGCTTTCAGCTTCCATAGCCTAAGCAGATTCAGAACTCCCTGCTGCTGCTTTCGCATCGTTAAGTCCAGATTGTTTAATAACTTCTTTCTTTAAATCCGTACCATAAGCTTTACAATAATTGTATTCAACTATTTTACACCTGTTATTATCCTTAGGTCACTTCTGACTACTTGCTAATTTTCATGAGCAATTGTCTTGTTAGCAATGTACAGTTGTCACTAAGATGAACCTCTGACACCGTCGCTGATGCTGTTTATGTTTGTGTAAGGATGTTCCGATCTTTCTGATGGAATGTGGCTGCTGTTGAAAACAGGATCAGGTATTACTTACTGGTCTGTGTTAGGAGGTTATTTCTAACTAGAGGAATTTTCCCAGTATCACTTCACTTTTTAGTTTGGACCTAATTCTTTTATATCAGAACTTTGGCTGCAGGTGACAGAAGCCAAACTCCACTGAGTTCAGTGATTGTTTATTATAAGAATACGGAGTATCGTATCTGAAGATAGGACAGTCGGGTTTCAGGGAGAACTGGAAGCAAAGACGAAACACTCTGAGGACTCTGCAGCTTTTGATTCGGTCTCTCACTGTCATCTGCTGCAACCTTCCTTTCTGCAGACAGGCCTCTCTCGGCTTCTCTGCTGCCCATGTTGGGTAATATTCCCGGAGACCGTTCCCACATTAGATCTCCTAGTACTCACAAGAAACTGATCTCTCTGCATCCCGAATGCATAAATTCGTCAGGAGAATGCTGATGAATCCAGAGACTGGATACTCATGGATCCAGCTTGACTCAGTTGTGCATTTCTGAATCAGCTATGTCAAGGCATGAGATCTTGAGGAAGGGACAAGAGGTGAACTCAAAGTTGGGCCTAAGGCCCCCTGTTGGCAGGCAGTCATACTACGCAGAGTAAATGATCTTGGGTAACCCGTCTGACTGGGGTTGGAAGGAGCTTGACAGGATCAGGAGATAGAAACAAAGATCTAATAAAATTTTCCTAACGGGTTGATGATAATGAGTCTTAAAAAACATATCTAACTCTTGAATGTAAATGTGATAATGAGCCTATGTCCTGGTCTATAAAAGATCAGTATGGCAATTTTAAAAACAGTACAGATGCTTAGTGTGCCTCAGAAATTTTCACGATGCTGGTATGTTTTTCTTAGTTTAGTGTCAAGGGTACTTAACACAAAATGTGGTACGTTGGGACTCAGTAGTGACAACGTTCTGGTGTTCAATTAAAAGAAATAAAAATAAACTAAATACACTTCTGTACGCACATATTCTTCTAAATTGAATAGATGTATAAGACCACAAAAAAAAAAAAGCCTACTTAATTTGATTCAGGGCTCTTATTGGGGCTACTGCCGCAATTCGTTTGGGTCTTAACCTTTGAGATATTTTATGTGGATGCAGTTTCATTACAGAAGGTGATTTAGAATCCACTTTATGAGCCATGCAACTAAAAAGATTTTAGATGTGATGGCTTCTGGGCATGACAGCTGTATACCTTCCGCTGGGGTTGAACCTCCAGAAGCTAAATTATGGAGTACTTACAGGCACACATTTTTCCTGTCAGGAACTATGGGGCATGTAAAATGCATTTGTGATTGATAGTAGGGCACACAGAGTTTAAAACCCACATTTTTAAAGTTAGACTGGTTAACCTTGTACAATACGGTAACATGGTGCCTCGGAATTAGAAGCACCGTGCGGTAACATTTGCTGTCAAAAGAGCCATATTTATTAACTCAACAAAGCTGTAAGGAGAAGGATCGGAAAGGCGGAACACAGTATTTCATCTCGAGAATCATTTGCGATCTCCATCGTCAGAGGCCTCACAAAACCACTTTTTCTCTTGCTTTCTTTCATGTGTGCGTGCGTGCGTGTTTTTACTGGACATGCTGATCAATCCTATAAACACTGAAAGGTTCCAAGTTTTTCTTCACTGCATTGTGGCTTTCAAGCTAACCGTAAATACTTATAAATCCCCTCTTCCCAATACGTATAAAAGTAAAAGAAAACTAAAAGAACTGAAGACAATAGCATTTTGACTTGTTCTCTTTTGATAACGTAAGATTTTGTTACGTTAAAAATTTTTTTTAATTTTTTTTTTTAATTTTTTTTTTAACGTTTATTTATTTTTTTGGGACAGAGAGAGACAGAGCATGAACGGGGGAGGGGCAGAGAGAGAGGGAGACACAGAATCAGAAACAGGCTCCAGGCTCTGAGCCATCAGCCCAGAACCCGACGCGGGGCTCGAACTCACGAACGCGAGATCGTGACCTGGCTGAAGTCGGCCGCTTAACCAACTGCGCCACCCAGGCGCCCCAAAAAATTTTTAAAATTTTTAAAAAAAATTGCTTCATTGTGCATCCCGGAGCAAGGGGGAACAAAACAGGGTCTTAAACCGTAGATACCATTTTGGAGTCGGTAAACACTTGCCATCCATTGTGGCTAGAAATACAGAATTTGAACGTTAGTGGCTTTATAGAATTTATATAAAAAACAAACAAAACAGAAACAACTAGAGGCAATTTAAATCTAGCCTCATCTCATCCAAAGCCTTTGAATCTGAGAGAAAGTGGAGACGCTAGATTGTTCTGTGAATAAAAGTACTTCATCTGACAAGAAAAGAAGAACAGGGTATGTGTTCCTGAGCTTATTGTGGGGCCCTATTATTTTCCTAGGAATTTATTTTATTTGTGGTTTGAAAAACTGATTGTCACACTTAGTTTTATAAGGATACAATGCCATAACAGAAGAATATATAATATGAACTACATCGTTTGCCCTCTGAAAGCGCCTGTCTTGACTATCATTTGTTTTCTTATAATCCAAAAAGTGAAACGAAGGAACAAAAACTAGATATACAGTATACTTTCTGCCACTCAAAAATGGGTCTGATGTTGTTTCAGGATTCATTTTGGAATGAAAGGCTCCATCATGATTAATCCACTGGAGTATAAAAATAAAAATGGAGTTTCTCCTGTTCTTGAAGTCCAGCTCACTGAAGATCTCATTTGTTTCTTTGACTCATCGGTAGAATTCAGGTAAAAAGGAGAAGAAAATAAAAGTACTTCAGCTGGAAAAGTCTAGAGTTAGAGCTGCGGTTTGAAATGTGGAGACAGGTAGATGTTTTAAAAATGGTTTATAACTGATAAACACTCATTTTGGAAGAGGCATCGGATAATCTAGTTTGTTAGGGTCTTTATTGTTGGGCTCTAGAACTCTTCTGCCCTGATTAACGGAAGGTGTGTGTATCCGAGATCATTTTAAATGACACTGTGTGAAGACTTATGATGAATGTCTTTTATATTTCCTTTCTACAGAAACTCTACAGAAAGCCAACAGAGAATAAGAATGATGGAAGAATTAGATGTATGTTCGCCTAAATTTAGTTTCTCAAGAGCAGAGAGTGAAGTTAAAAAGCAAAAAGGACGGATGTTGTGTGACGTGTTAATGGACCAGAAAGTATTGCCTGGGGTGGGGAACATCATCAAAAATGAAGCTCTCTTTGACAGTGGCCTCAACCCAGCTGTCAAAGTAGGTGATATAAGTATTTTTTTTTTAAATGATTTCTGTATTTTTAAATACTGTTAAGGGACCAATGTGTGACACTTGAGTCCGTGTTGCAGTAAAACATTCTCCCCAAACAGAGACTTTGAGGGTGTTTGTTGTCGTCAGCTTCTTAATGAGGCCAACACAGACCACTCTATTGTTTTTAAGTTTATTTATTTATTTTGAGAGAGAGTGGGTGAGGAAGGGACAGACAGGAAGGGAGACAGAGAATCCCAACCATGCTAGCGGTCAGCGACGAGCCAGACGCAGGGCTTGAACCCACAGCCGTGAGATCATGTGTGACCTGAGCCGAGATGAAGAGTCGGACTCTTGCGCGACTGAGCCGCCCAGGTGTCCCCCGACCACTCTGTTTAAAATTGCCCTGTGCATCCCTTTGTCCCCACCTCATGTCCCCCATCGTCCCTAACTTGCCTTGGTTTTTATTATCCCCATGCCATGGATCACTTTTTGATCAACCTAACTTTCACTTGTTATACTTACTACTTAAAATCTGCCCCCGCCCCCTGCGGCCATGCAGTCTCTTAGGAGGAAGGTGTCCATTTTGCGCATTGAGGTAGCCAAGCATCTAGAATGCAGCGTCTAGCACATGGAAGGCATCAAAGAAATACCTGTTGGGGGGTATGAACGAAGTAAGCTCACAGCTTGCTTTTTGAACCCGGCCTATTAAATTGACACTCCACACACGTATTCCTGCGTGTAGCTGTTCTGACGTTAGCAAATGCTTTGTTGGTGGGATAAGCAAGGAAGAGGTTGAGGAGTAAGAGGTTAGTGGGGGGATGGAAACAAAATTTGGAGCATTTGTTAACTAGCTTAGACTGGAATGAAGGGAAAATACAGATTTCTGGGGAGGGGCGCGTTTTCAGGACAAGGACCGGGTTTGGTTGTTTTTTCCTTGTTCTTCAACAGAAGAGACACAGACTTACTTAAATGAGAAAAAAAATGGTAAAGAAGGGCAGGTTAAATCTGTAGGAAAGAGAATGGTGATTTATAGGGCAAAGTTGTAAGAAGGTCAGAGAGCTTACAACTCAGACCCAGGTAGAAGGCTATGTATATTTTAGTTTCTAGGGAAGAAATCTACCTGAGGGCTTTTACCTATATCCAACTAGTCTCTTTAAACTAAATCATCTTCTACATGAATCCAAAGGTACCTTTTGATTTTTGTGTAATTATTTCGTAGTTTTTATTAAATCCAGTCCAGTAAGAAATAAGTCTTAAAAGAAACCAGTTAATGACTTTTCTAGATTAGATTCTGCTTTTTGACTCTTGGAACAGGTTACTTAAATTTCTGTAACATGGGAGCAATTAATAAAACAGATTTTTAATAAGAATGAGCTTTTTAAAATTACCCAGACCTCTATGGAAAACGTTTTTGAAAAAAAGAACCTGGAGTATTGTTATTATCTCTAATAATCTAAGAATTCACTTCTTACTTGTATATCCAGCCAGCCATTCATCTAGTAAAGGATCATCTGCCCATAATGTCTGGGAGTTTAAAAATTAACAGCAGTTCTCAAGTTTAGCTATTCGCCCCTTAAGAGCACATGCACGGTTATTGAAAAAGTACAGTTTAACATTGCAACGTATGAGTGAATCTGTTATATAAGATATGGGAAGAGACAAGTGTGTTGTAGAAGCGTATGTGTTTTAAGCTTTAAATAAATGAAAAATATACAGAATACTTTCATACTGTTTATGTCGATTAGATGATTTTAGGTTTTATGGTCACTGATAAATGAGTTTCTCTTGTATATAGATGTATGTATACATTCACGTACATAAACAAGGATAAGTCATCAGAATTTTTCCTGGCCTCACCATTGAAACCAAATGCACATGGGGAATAATTCTACAAGGATAACAGATTTATGCCAGGCTGTGTCACAAAAATTTCTTCAGGAAGGTCTATTTCTGAGTTCTTCCATGTGTTAATAAGTGCTCTGATATTAATGCATGTATGTAAATTCATATCTTTTTTAGGCCAAATTGTATCCTTGATGGTCATCTATTCCTGTGCTGATTTTTCCCTCCCTTCCCCTTCCTTCTTTTTCCTTTTGTTTTCTTTCTTTTCTTTTCTTTTCTTTTCTTTTCTTTTCTTTTCTTTTCTTTTCTTTTCTTTTCTTTTCTTTTCTTTTCGCAAATCCAGCAGGACTCTTCCAGGTGGCTGATAAACAATGCTGGGACTTTGAAGATGTCTGAAACAGAAGAGATATTCAATAAATACTTGAATTTAGATATAAAATTTATAAATAAGAGTGGCAGTTTTTATTTATTTTTTTTTTTAAATTTTTTTTTTTCAACGTTTATTTATTTTTGGGACAGAGAGAGACAGAGCATGAACGGGGGAGGGGCAGAGAGAGAGGGAGACACAGAATCGGAAACAGACTCCAGGCTCTGGGCCATCAGCCCAGAGCCCGACGCGGGGCTCGAACTCACGGACCGCGAGATCGTGACCTGGCTGAAGTCGGACGCTTAACTGACTGCGCCACCCAGGCGCCCCAAGAGTGGCAGTTTTTAATCCATAGTCCTATCACGTCAAAATAAAACCATCGTTACTGACACTAAATAAATGTGCGAGAAATAGAGTTCTGGAAAGTATGCATGTATTTGAAATCTGTTGAGAGTTCTCTTAGAACTGGCAACTGGTATTATTTTTGTAGAGTAATGAGCAAATTATGAAACTGTCCTCACTTGTTTTTCTATTTGAAGGCTTGTCAGTTAACAGATGAACAGACCCATCACCTGGTGAAAATGATACGTGACTTCAGTGTTCTTTTTTATAGGGTAAGAGCAAAACTTTTTCTACTTGTGAAATGTCAACCGCTTCCCTTTTCGTTGCACCAAAAATGTTTTGGCTGTATGTAGCCATCTAGTGGCCAGTGTGTAGAGGTACAATAAGGGAGAGTGATGTGTGGGCATAATGAACATCTGGAAATTTTATGTCATGGCTCAGTCCAAACTTGTCTCACGGTAATTATTTTAAATGTAGACTAAGGTGGGGAAACAGCCATGTTAGCATTTTACTTACAGTCTCATTCTGTTTTGGGGTATATAAAAGTAAAATGTAAGAACTCTAGAGAGAGAACTCAATTCTTTGGAATAAATAGTCCTCCGTTCAGTCAGATTTTGCCACTTGCTGTCTGTGTGTTTTACATCATGTAGGTAATTTAGGTTTAGTTTCCTCATCTGTAAAATGGGATAATAAATTTTCTCCATCTATCAGAAAGACTATTTTGAGAATGAAATAAGTACTTGCTAACCTGTAAATTTTGAAGTTGTAAATATGCGTATACATGTGCATATAGTGTTCAGAAAACAAATTTTATCTTTTAAACAAGGTATCATGAATGTGTCATTTTTTCTCCACTGTCCATTTTCTGTATTCAAAATTTTTATTTTCACTCTGTTCAGAAAGGCAGCTATGATAGGAGTTTTCATTAATTGGCCTGGAGTGTTACTGAACCTCCTGCTTTACGTGTGTGCCTTGAGTATTATGACTATTTTACTTCTTGAGAGAGAGAGAGAGAGACAGAGAATGAGGTGAGTGGGGAATGAGCAAAGGGAGAGGGAAAGAGAGAATCCCAAGCAGGCTCTGCACTGTCAGTGTAGACCCTGATGTAGGGCTCGATCTCATGAACCACGAGATCGTAACCTTAGCCAAAATCAAGAGTTGGACGCTTAACCTACTGAGCCACCCAGGCGCCCCATAACTTTTTTTTTTTTTTTTAGTTTTTTTAAATGTCTATTTTTGAGAGACATAGAGTGGGAGCAGAGGAGAGGCAGAGAGAGAAGGAGACACAGAATCTGAAGCAAGCTCCAGACTCTGAAATATCAGCACAGAGCCCAACGCAGGGCTTGAACTCAAAAACCACGAGATCATGGCCTGAGCTGAAGTCGGGCGCTTAACTGACTGAGCCACCCAGGAGCCCCACCCCATAACTATTTTAATATTCTGTATGCTTACTTATTCTTCCAGGGGAAGGTGATTATAGAGAACTATCCATTTTCTGCCCCTGTTAAGTTGGGTATTTTAATACTTCGTTTAAATCGATAGAGGTTGTTTGTGTAATTTTCACCTTACATATGGTGAGTCATATTTCTGGGTCTTGAGATTTTCACAGTGCTGATGTAAACCCAAAACATCCTCTTTTTAGGAGCTTTAAGTATATATATGTGAGTAGAATAAAACTGTGACAGGGAATATCAAAATATCTTTTGAGTTAGAATGTATACCAAATGGAACATGTTCTTGGCTAGGAAGGCTTTTGAATTTTTATTTTCTTTTTTAGTGAATTTGTAAGATGAAAAGTGAAAAAGTGTTGTCAGATCAACAAAGAAGATGATCTCAAGTTTTTGGCCCCAGAAATAATGTTTTGTTTTTGTCTGTTGAAAGAAAGTGAGCAGCTTTAGTGTTCTAAAAATAAATCAGATTTCAAGCTAATCTAGTCTTTTTCTTATAACCACATAATTATGTTTAATTTAAAAAAAAAACCTTAAAAGCATGAGAGACATTTTACATTGTAGAACTTTTATATCCCATTTAGATAAAAAGATAATGCTATGCAAAGGATAATTTTGAATACTAATAAGTTGTAAAATAATGACTTAATTATTTCACACAAATGTTGTTTGACAAATATTGCTGAATCTTGTCAATACCTTTTTCTCAGATGAAAAGAAAAGATTATATGGACATATGTACAAGCATGTAAATTTTAACCAAATTATTTTCAGAAATGACTTTCAAGAACGTATCTTTGGCTCCTTAGCAACACTGTCTTATAGAAATATTATAATGTTTGGTTTTTTGTTTGTTTGTTTTTAGTGCCGGAAAACTGGATCTGTTATCTCTAAACACTGTAAGGTTTACAAGCGTCCTAACTGTTGTCAGTGCTGTTGCAAAATAACTGTGTGTCGCTTAGGAGAGAATAACAGGATGACATATTTCTGTCCTCGCTGTCAAAAAGAAAATCCTCAACATGTTGACATATGGTGAGTTACCTAATGTAAACGTATATACCATTTGCCCTAATTGGCTAACTCAAAAGCTATTAGTAAGAACATAATTCAAAGACATTTGAACCCTTGGAAGGAAATGGTAAATAACATTATCAAAACACTAGGATAGGGCTCCTGAGTGACTCAGTCAGTTGAGCGCCCGACTCTTGATTTCAGCTCAGGTAATGATCCCAGGGTCGTGGGATCGAGCCCCGCGTCGGACTCCGCCCTGAGTATGGAGCCTGCTTAAGATTCTCAGTCTCTTTCTCTTTCCCCTTTTCTCTCTCTCTCCCTTTCTCTCTCTCTCCCTCTCTCTCTCTCTCCCTCTCTCTCTCTCTCCCTCTCTCTCTCTCCCATCCCCCGCTCACGCTCTCTCTGTCTCTCTCTCTCTCTCTCTCTCTCTCTCTCTCTCTCTCTCTCTCTGTCAAATTATAACAACAACCACAACAAAAATCAGGATAAGCTGAAGACGATAAATGGACCACTTCTGGATTCAGTAGAACAAATGCAGTTCAGATGTTAATATCCAGCGTTTGGTTTTTATCTTGTTTGTAAAATGATTACCAGGAGGTGTAGATAGGTCAATAATTGGACAAATGCAACTCTCTTCAAAGGTTTTTGCTTTAGTTAGAAATAATATTAAAAAACCTAAGCCACATCTCTTTACAAAATTCTTGTCTTATTCGTTAAATAATTGGCTGCTTGCTAAACAAGAATGCGGTGACTCTTCCGGCTGCTGAGTATGTCTATTCCAATTACACCTTCCAGAACTAGGGAAATAACCATAGGATAGGTTATTCAGGGACCCACTGAGATGGGTCTGAGCTACGACTCCATTGATCACCTGACCTCTCTAAGCCCCTACTTTGTCAGTGGAGCACAGTGCTGTTTTGAGTCTCTTTGAATTAGCCTCTGTTTGGAGCCAGTGTCCAGTGGTCCCCAAAAGGTCTGATTACTTCCTCTTCCCCAGTGCTCAGTTACCCTGGTAAAAGGCTTTAGGTCCCTTTGGGAAAGCCTGGGACAAATATCAATAATATAAAGGAGTGTTGGGCGCCTGGGTGGCTGACCCAGGTGTCTCACTCTTGATTTCAGCTCAGGTCATGATCTCACAGTCCGTGGCATCGAGCCCCACGTCGAGCTCCGCGCTGAGCATGAGCCTGCTTGGGATTTTCTTTCTCTCCCTCTGTCTCTGCTCTTCTTCTGCTCACACTTTCTCTCTCTGTCTCTCAAAATAAATAAACATTTAAAAAGTAATAATATGAAGGAGTGTATGTGATCATAAGCAAAATAACCAGTACAGACACAAAGCACATGAAGTGCTGTAAGAGTTCAGGGATGTTAAGTGTTTATATGTACACACAAAGCTGGAAAGATGTCATAGAAAAAGTGTGAAGTTTGCTTTTCTTTTTTTTTTTAATGTTTTATTTTTGAGCGAGAGACAGAGCATGAGCAAGGAAGGGGCAGAGAGAAAGAGAGGGAGACACAGAATCTGACACAGGCTCTAGGCTCTGAGCCGTCAGCACAGAGCCCGACGCAGGACTTGAACTCACGAACCGCGAGATCATGACCTGAGCCTAAGTCTGATGCTTAACCGACTGAGCCCGCCAGGCGCCCCTGAAGTTTACTTTTTTTTTTTTTTAAATTTTTTTTTCAACGTTTTTTATTTATTTTTGGGACAGAGAGAGACAGAGCATGAACGGCGGAGGGGCAGAGAGAGAGGGAGACACAGAATCGGAAACAGGCTCCAGGCTCCGAGCCATCAGCCCAGAGCCTGACGCGGGGCTCGAACTCACGGACCGTGAGATCGTGACCTGGCTGAAGTCGGACGCTTAACCGACTGCGCCACCCAGGCGCCCCCCTGAAGTTTACTTTTAAAAGACAGTTGGCACTTTGGTGAACTGAGAAAACAAACACCATTGGGAAGGTGGAGCAGAGAGACCCTGACCGTTAATGAATAATCACGACATGGTCGAGGGATGACAGTTACACTGGCCAAGCCACAGGAGGCTCTGGGTTGGTGGATCATAAAAGCCAGTTTTACAGGCAGAATGGGATCAAAGACTAGGAATTATTAGCTGTTCTGGGAATGGTTGATGTATTGCCTAACTCAGGAGATTAAGGACTCTTCATTGGGGTGGGGAGGCCAAGAAGCTGGTGCAGTGACGGTTGCCGGGCCTGAGGCCAGGACCCTGGGAACGGAAAAGAGGAGCGGGACTTCGGTTAAAAATCTTAAAAGTCAGCGAGAATTTTGACAGGTTTGCTATGTAAGGTGATGTAAGAAGTTTCAGACCAAATAATAGAAATGTTCACTCAGAGGGTCTGGGAGAGTTGGGATAGAGTAGAAAAGATGAATTTTGTCCATGTAAAGCAACAGTGGACTGTCTGAAGAGATGTGTTATGGGCCCTGTCACAGTTGGCAGGTCATGGCTTGATGGTTATTACGGGCAAGTCTTCGTTTTTTTTATTTATTTATTCATGTTGGAGAGAGGGAGAGGGAGCACCAGCAGGGGAGAGGCACAGAGGGAGAGAGAGAATCTTAAGCAGGTTCCATCCTCAGTGAGGAGCCTGACGCGGGGCTGGATCCCATGACCCTGGATCATGACCTGAGCCCAAACCAGGAAGGAGTCCAACGCTCAACTGGCTGAGCCACCCAGGTGCCCTTACTAAGTGAAATACTCAAAAGAAATCAGTTCACAGGGAATGTAGAGAGGCAGGAACCAAGGTCTGAGCTTCAGGGAATATCCAGAGTAGGAGCAAAAGAGTGAGCCAGGAAGACACAGTGATGTGCTGAGGAATAAGTGCCCAAGCAGGGAAGGAAGCAGCTGTGGACCCTGGGGAGGGAGGCGCCATCTTGCCCAATGGCAGGCTTAGGCCCACGGCCTGGAGGTGATGGGCCGGAGGCGATCTATGGGGGAGGCCCCCATCTGCACCTTCCCCTGTGTGTCTGCGGCAGTCTCCCCGCCCTCCCTGCCCCTGTGGTTTCCTTTTCATCCCCCCTTCTCTTTTTTTTTTTTTTTAATTTTTTTTTTTTCAACGTTTATTTATTTTTGGGACAGAGAGAGACAGAGCATGAACGGGGGAGGGGCAGAGAGAGAAGGAGGCACAGAATCGGAAACAGGCTCCAGGCTCTGAGCCATCAGCCCAGAGCCTGACGCGGGGCTCGAACTCACAGACCGCGAGATCGTGACCTGGCTGAAGTCGGACGCTTAACCGACTGCGCCACCCAGGCGCCCCTTAACCCCCCTTCTCTTGTTCTAAGCTCCCCAACCACTCACAGCTTCTTCCTCTCGGCTTCTTCACCCCACCGTACTGACACCAAGATCTGAGGTATATTTAGATAATATATTTATTGTGCAGATTTATGGCTTTCTTAGTTTTAGTGTTATAGGTGTACTCTTATCTGACCAAATGTGTATGACGCAGTATCTGGCAGAAGGACATTGGATAAATGTTTGTCTCCTGAATAAATGATCGATGTTCTATATTTGTTTTCTGTGAATTGATAGTTTTGGGGATTTAAAAAAAAAAGTATTCTTCCACATGATCAAAGAAATATGTTGATTATCATGTAAATGTTGATTCCAAAAGTTGTTGGAAACTAGGTTTTAAAGACTGAAGGGTTCCCTGCAACAGACGTAGGGGCATCTATGAGCTAGGGGAGGCCTTGCTCTGCTGCAAATATTCTGAGCCCTGCAATCCGTCCTCTCCTAAGCTACTTCTGACTTACGCATTGGCATTCAGCTTAAGACATCATTTGGAAGAGCAACTGTATATTGACAAACAAATGTGTGTATAATAAGACATTTGAAAACTAGTAGCATTTGTCCTATTCTTAGAGATTTCTATACCGAAGTGTATTCTGTTCATTTTCTGGATGAGTTTTTTTTTTTTTTTTTTTTAAATTTTTTTTAACGTTTATTTATTTTTGAGACCGAGAGAGACAGAGCATGAACCGGGGAGGGTCAGAGAGAGAGGGAGACACAGAATCCGAAACAGGCTCCAGGCTCTGAGCTGTCAGCACAGAGCCCGACGCGGGGCTCGAACTCACGGACCGCGAGATCGTGACCTGAGCCGAAGTCGGACCCTTAACCGACTGAGCCGCCCAGGCGCCCCTTCTGGATGAGTTTTTGAACATTTTTAATGTTGATTCCATTTTCTCATCCTAAGTTAAAGTCATCTCAAATTTAGTTGAAGAAACACAAAAGCCCAACAGCATTGATCCCTTTTATTCTTTGAATCACACAAAGTTTATTTAACTCCTTCATGAAGCCCTCCCCCAATTTTAGTGTTTATGGATTACGCCACACTGAATACTTACACCATTTATTGTTGGCTCTTTGTACACGAGCTAGCGTAATATATACAGGTGAGTGTTTTTTCCTTATGAGGAAACTGCTGTCTTTTCCTTTTCTGTGCTAGTCTTTGTTTTATAAATGTTTGAAAATTTGTTACTACTGTCTTAATTAGTGTCTGTTATAATTCAGGTACTGCAAATACATAGACAAAGTTTAGGGGCGCTTGGGTGGCTCAGTCGGTCAGCGTCCGACTCTTGGTTTGGGCTCAATGTCACGATTTCCCGGTTCGTGGGAGCAAGCCCTGTGTCACGGTCTGCTCTGTGTCTGCTTGGGATTCTCTCTTTCCCTCTGTCTCTGCCCCTCCCCGCTCACACGTGTGTGCATGCTCTTTCTCTCTTTCTCAAAATTAATAAACATAAAAAAACAGTTAAAATTTAGCCCATCAGAGCCCAAGGTGGGGAGTGAATGAGTAAGTAGATCATTAACCGCCTCCCCCCCCCCCCC